GGACGATGCCTCCTGGATACCGGCTGGAAACTTCACCTATGCGAGAGAGTTGCAGAAGATGATCAAGAGGGACAAGCCCGAGGAAGTCACTAGTATGGGATAGTGACGCTTTCGAGGGCGAAAGCTACCCCAAGGGGAGAGTACTGTTGTGGAACTACTTGGGGGCCGGCAGTAAATGATATTTTCTGCAGCTGTATTATGTAATCTCGCTGAGTCATCCTATTCTACGGTTTACTCATGATTTCCTGGTTCCAACGCTTCGTTCAGCACTCAGTTCTGAGGAGTATGGAGGAAGATACGGCCTCTTGAAGACGTAGTACTTTGAGGCCAGGTGCTGGGTGGGGATTGTTGGAATTAGAGCTAGATTAGGTTGATTATAGGTGACGGAGGGGCGCTGGTACATGGTCCGTACATTACACTGTGTTGTCTTGTCTGATGTGATGCGATGGACCCACGACCGGGCATCGCGCAGGTACATTGGATGCGCGCCACGTTGTGTCAGACTGTAACCGCATTCGGGCCCCCTCTCTGCCCCGCCGCGAGGCAGCGAACCGCCGTTCGCCGCCGCGACTCCACCGCCTGCGCACGGCAGGCTTCGGGGAAGGTCCCCGAGCGTCCCAAGGGCCCACCGTGCTACCGAACAACCGAGCACCCCGACAACGCCCGCCGGAATCCGGCGGAGAGGCGCGGCATCGAGGCCGCGCCATCGGGTGCGGCGACCGCCCCCAACACTCCGGAAACCAGCGGCCGCCCGCGGGCCGCAACAGCTGACAGCCCGGAGGGGGTTTGGACAGCCCCCGGTATCACTCAAGCCGGGTCACACTATTTTCGTGGACATAGTGGGGCCGTTTCCGGAGGAAGATGGTTTGGAGTACATCCAGTGTGTTGTTGACTCAGCATCACGAGTAGTAGATGCTGTAGCTATAGCTAGTACGGATAGTAGTGAGGCAATACGTGCCTTGGAGCGTTGGAAGGCATTCTATGGACCTTTTAGTGTCTTGGTGTCGGACAATGCTAGTACATACCAAAGTGAACAATTCCTAGATTGGTGTCAGAAAAATGGAGTTATGCACCTTTTTGTGGCTCCCTACCGCCATGAAAGTACTGGGGTAGTGGAGCAGTGCAATAGAACTGTTGTACATCAACTCGGCAAAAGGGTCCTAGCTACGGGTCGTACATGGGCAATAGAAATAGATTGGGTTGTACAAAACATAAATAGGTCTGTACATTCAGTGGCCGGCAGAACGCCCAATGAACTATGGCATGGTGATTACAAGATGCGACTGGAAGCCCATCGAAAGATGGCGAAGGCAAGGGATCGGGCCAACCAGAACCTCAAGATCTTTTCAGAGAATCTGAAGGTTGGCGATACGGTTCTTGTATACGATTTTAGTCGCCTTAAAAAACAACGCCACAAGCTGATGAAGCGTTGGACTGGACCCTACAAGCTGGTGGAGAAGCTGCCGGGTAATCTTTGGAGGGCTGCGGAGCGAAGGCGTGATAAGCCGGGCCGAAAAAAGATCCTTGTGTTCCATGAGAATTTCATACAGAAGTTCGATGATGCGGAACATGTATGGTGACCCAAGGAGGCAGTCGGCAGTTCGGAGTTGAGGCGCAGTCCAGCGTGGGAGTGCCCATGTTGAAGTTGGCCATTTCCAGGCCATAAATGACATGGCAAACGTCTCCATCAACTTCATCTTCCAAGCATCAGCAGGCAACATTTCCAGCACCACTAGCCGACCGACATTAGCTACCACACCCAATGCATCTTACAGCTGGACACAGCAGCAGCATGAGGAGCGATCAAAAAGTTACAATCCGACCAGAACTGTACAAGATCAAGCCGCTTTGCGACTGCAACTCCAGCATCAGCTCCATTGTACAGCTATCATGCCCTACGTGGCTGACTACGCATCAGCATGCACGGTTCCGTCCAACTTTGACGCCCAGCATGGGATGACGACATCCTTTCACACACCCACAAGCCGCCAAGCGACTAGTCCGACATCTGAACATCATCCAAGACCTCCAAAACGGCAAAAGCGCACTGCAGCGCTCCCCTGTAGTCTGACCATCCTGCACAGCGAGCCCCGCCTCCCAGTCCCACTGCCCAGCAGCTGGTTGGCGGTTTCCCGGTAGCCATGACAGCAACGCGATTCCGCCAGGTCGAAAGCTGGCGCTTTCTGATCGCCCAGTGGCTCGCTTTCGGCGACCTCTGGCTCTCGAGGTGGTACCTCGAGAAGTCTGACTGCCCTCCAGGATACTGGAGTTTTGGGCTTACGGTAGTCTTGCCGTTCAGCGACGAGGACGCGCCGTGGCTGCATCACCAGCGAGATCATGGGGAAGACTCACTGAGGTATCGGCTGCAAGAGGAGGCGCGCGAGGCGTACTGCCGCACCGTGTCAACGCAATTGATGTCAGGACATCTGCCTGGACCTGGGGAAAGCCGGACTGGAACCCTGCCTACAAGCCCAAGGCCGTGTACCGCCCCTGGGCACTCCAGGTGTATCCCCATCCGCATCGGCCGTACACCGGCATGGGTACGCAGGCGTTCCGGCAACGCATCGCGGCGATGATTGAGCGTGAAGGCGGACGGATCCAGGCCTGGCGCGGTGCGGAGATCAACTTTTACTATCGCCAGGTACATGTGAGCCTTGACATCAGCGTGCCGCACTCCGATGAGCGCTGCTGGCGCATGGAGGGTGGAGGCGTCACCCGCCGTGAGTATGCGGCCACGCAACCGTCCAGCGCGTCTGAGATCTTCGTCCGTGATCGAAGGGAGTTCGGTGTGCAAACGGAACCCAACGCAGCCGTACTGCCCTCCGCTGCCTTCGTGGAAGCCAGCGCGATCGTGGCTTGACGCCTCAATGCTGGCAAGGAGCCGTATACAGCCGTGGAGCTGCGCGCGGAGGAGCGGGCCTGGCGGAGGGCCATCCGACGTCAGCGACGGGAGGCGCGGCTGCGTGGACCAGTCTGAGATGACGTCATGGAGGATGCGCCCACTGATGAGCCACCGACTGTACCGGCAACCCTTGGCACCTCCACGATGACGACACCTGCCCTGCCACCCGGATTTGATGGGACTGACAACGCGAGGGCAATGACGCCATCCCCACCGCCGGGTTTCGGAGGCCAGGGGGCGCGGTCTACGGAAAGTCGGTAGACATGTCGAAGACAGTGACAAGGCGGCGTCCGGCTGGCAGATGACGCGATGGGTGGCGGCCACCTGAAGCCAGCTGGCGTGGTTGGAGTTGTCCGAGGAGTTCCTTGGCGGAGAATGATCGTTGGGATGTCCTGGCTGTCGTGTGAACGAACGGGTCGATCTGTACTGGAACCTTGGGGTGATTGGGTCGTGTCGTGTCCGGTTGGATGAGTGAACGGGGAGACATGACGAGAAGGAGTGAACGCATGGTTGCCAGTTGTACCCGAAAGACGATCCTGTAATAAATAGCCGCGGGGAGTCTGTCCCGACAGCTCTCCGGCAGGCCCCTGTGTGACGAACCGTGTCCCAGCCGCCTGTACGATCCCGCCACCGCGCCACAGCCCCCCGACCGACTCGGCCAATCACTGGCCTTGCCCCCTTGCGGTACCCGAGCGTCCGTAAGCCGGCCTAAGGAGCCCTGGGGCCCTGTGGCGTATCTCACACTCCCGCTGAGTGGTGAGTCCGGTGCACGTGGATTCCGGAGTGACTGAGGGCTGCGCATTACGCAAGGCGGGCGCAGTCGCTGGTGCTGGAGTGCCGTAGCACCCTACGGAGGTGCCGATCGGCCGGTACGCGCAACGGTGGACACTAGGAGGGAGTTGCGACGTACGGTTCTGGTGGAGGCCTCGATGGCGAGGTGCGATATGAGTATGATTTTCCCTGGAACGCCCATGGAAGGAGCTGCCATCATGGCGGCGTTGGCTGGCGCTGTCGGACGGAGTGTGCGATTCCTGGGCATTGGCATCCATTGGTTTGGGGAACTCATGGTTACCCTACTCGGGTGGCTGGCTTGGATGCTGAAAATCGATGAGACAACAAAGAATACGATTCTGGGGACGGTCAGGGTGGTTTATAATGGCCTGGCCCTCCTCATTTTGTTCAACATGACTGCCGCCATTTTCTGCGCAATGGGGCAACTTCTGCAGACTGCAGAACCTCACAGAATAGCACTGACATATTATTCAACATGCTGGCACTGATCGGCAGCATATGAAAGGCTTGTATGCAACAATGTGCAACATATTTATGGGATCTAGAAATCTCCACCCTGCAGTCCTTCTCAGATCCTGTCATCATTTTAGCTGATGTAAGGCCATGCCCTGTGATCTACAGTAGTGCCATAAAGCCTGGAGCAACTTGAGGCATATCAATGGCCCAAGAGCCACAGAGAAGGCTGAGCACAGCCGCCACTGTGTTTTCCCTGTGGTCCTTGCGTGTGTATCCGAAACAGGCGTTGCTGCCAAACGACAAGTTGCTGTGAAACTGAGTAACACATGACTCAACTCAGATGGAGTATCCCAAAACCTGAAGCCAGTGTCGATTCCGAAAACCTGTCTTGATTCCCAGCTCTGTTTCCTTGGTGGCAAGGTCTTGGTGAGGCCATCCCATCTGTTCGAGTTGACGTGTTTCCCTCTTCTGGGAAAGTTCCAGAACGGGCAAGCAACGGCAATCACGGACAACAAATAGTGAACCGTCCTTACAAACCTCTCAAAGTGAGCACATCAATCTGTGCATTCGTGCCAAAGTCTGCTCTCAAGCCTCAATGGATCGCTGTCAACTCCCTCCACTATCTACGTGTGAAGGTGCCATTCATGTGCGTATCACACAAATGGCAAACATTTGTTCCACAGATATACGTGCACCACAAGCACCACGCCCTGCAGCCCAATGGACTGCTAATATTGACAGCCACGTCCCATGACCACATCAGTACCCCTTTCCAGGAGCACATGAATGTCTTTGTCTGGATGTACCTTTGGTGGCCAGTTCGTCAAAGCTGCTACAAAAGGCATGCGCATCATCTGAATCTTGGGTCTCCAAACGGCAGGTACCAGTTGAGGAGTTCCTGCCTCTCCATTTCCTTGATTCTGTCCTCCTTTCGTTTCTTCGCTGCTCGCTTTTCGACTTTCTTGCGTTTTCTCAACATCTCTTCATGCTTTTCTCTCAGTTTTTTGTAGCCGATGGGATCCACCTCTTGAATCATTGGGTTGATCTTAAGAGGACCATAAGGTTTGTCAAGTGCCACGCCTGCACACAAACAGTAGTGGTCACACGGAAACGAGCTGATGATGGAAGATTTCAGGGCAAAATGCACATAGTACGCCACAGAGGCCATTAAATCATCAAGCACAAACACACCGCCATGGATGCAGATGTGCTGTGCAGCATTGGTCTGGGTTTCATCATGATAGCAACATTTCACAAGGACACGGTTGGAGCATGTGAAATTGGCAGAATATGTAACAACTTGAGCTATGCCACATCTGATGGCCTCCAAGCTTGTAACCACCTCTTGAAAGCAAGTCACAAATTTCAAAGCTGGTGAAAGCCACTTGGGTTTAGTTGAAACAAACTAGTTGTCCCAGACTTTCTGTGGGTGGGTTGTAGCAACAAGAACCAAATGAACATAATCTGGACAGGCTGCTACACACCCTGAATCGCAGCCAGAGGGATGTAAACATCTCAGTTTCTTGTCAATGGGCACCAAAGCACCCACAATGATCGCTGTAAGCGCTACATACAAACATTCCACAAATGCAGACACTTACCCATATCTTTCAGAAGCCGCACTTTGTGTGGACTGAGTTTCTGCTTGAAGAAGAGCTTGTGTTGCCTTTCCATCCACCTCGATGCCTCGATCCAGTTGGGCTCACTGGGATCATCGAAACCCTCAGGGATTTCCACTGTGGCATGCTTTGCTTTATATCGACGGAGGTGATGATACAAACTGTACCACCTGGCATCGAGCTGGAGCACAACATGCACCAGAGGAAAACATTACATGAGCATTCACCCACATAACCACCCATCACGGTCTTTCTGCTGTTTAGTTGGGCAGCATGGCCACATTCTGAGTTTTGCTAAACAACTCTCAGCAGTGCACTAACAAGAACCTGATACCTGGGTAAATGGAAAATAGCATCTTGAGCATGATTCAAGACAGATGCGCTTTAATGTTAGAACACATAAATGATGGTATTTTGCTCAACAGAAAGTGAGAATCATTTTCAGAATTGCCGAATTTTCTGCATGTGCTGCAATGAACACACATTGTGGATACAACCATGCCCACTATCGCCTTGCAGATGTAATCAATCAGGTCGCCTTTAATGCACCAACAAACATCTTGTAGAACACAAGGCCAGCTCATGGCCTGGGCTACTTGCCTGGTGCACCTTCCATTCGAAATTGAGCTCATTCAGCTTCCGAATCTGCCATTCTTCCAACAGCTTCTTCTTATATTTCCTCCTCATGCGGTGGACCCATTCACCAAGCACGCTTGCATCATGCACCTTCCTTGGGACATGGCATGTGTAGTATTTGTCCTTCCATTCCTGCAGTTGAGTGGCCATAACTTCGAAGTCCATCGTGTTCTGGCTGCCATGGGACTCCAGTTGGGACAGGTGCTGTTCTTCATATTCCGCATCAGCGATTTCTTCGCCCGCTACTTTCTTCAGGTCATAGCCCAAGATTACTCTCAACTTGATGACCTGATGGGTGGGAAAACACAGTAAGGGTAGGCCTGGATCAAGATGACACTCAAGCAATAGCCTTGCCATTAAGTTGTTGCAGACAGCATTTGCCAGCCAGACGCCTTGGAACCTGCTAACACTTCAAGATGCTGGCTGTGATATATGTTCCCACTTGTGTCCATTGAACACGTACTTGTTGGGAAAAGTTCTGGTTCCATTAACGAACAACCTGTGCAATGGTCCCAGACCTGTCCATCCCAACAACAGCAACCAACAACTCAGTGTTACCATGTGGCATCAGTTTCACCATCCCAAAGCAGTGCATGGTTGGCAGCAAATTTCCCACTTTTCCAATATTCGCATTTCTTGTAGATTGAAAAACAATCAAGCATTTTTGTCCGTCAGGATGACAGGGAATGATGAAGCTGCAACTGTGAACTAGCCCTGGGTTCATCAGCCCTCGCTCATAAGTGCCAAAACTGAAATGCAGCCACAAATCTGCACAAAATGGCAGCACATCATAACATAGGGATGCAGAGGGTGGAACTGGTGCCTGAGCCTGACAGCAGCTTCTGTGGCAACTGCCACTCTTGTAGACAGGAGACCACAGTGCAGTTGTCACAACTTTGGAACTACCCTGCATCGGTGTGCGACTACAAAGGGAGGTTCAAGAGCAAAACAACTAGAAGTTCTGATCCCTGGCTATGACCTTTCAAACACAGATCTTCATGATTCCACAACGCTCTACACCGTACACAGCTTCACCTTGTCAACTGACAGCCGTCTCTGCTGAAAGAGCACAGGCTGTTGATGCCACCACCTTGGGAACACAGCTGGCCAATCTTCGCTCTTCCATCTTTGTGGCACATCCAGATTGTTGAAAACTGCCTTGAAGCGCCTTGCTTCATGCAGCATCATATGCCACTCCGCATCGTTCTGTGGAGAATTTGGCAGTTCCAATGAGCAAATAAACAATTCACACCTATGGGAGCTGGTTAGAACAGAACAGAGTGCTGTACATTTGGCACACTTGATCGGAACTCCAATACCTCAGATGTAACAGAACGGCCTTCCAGAACTCAATGCTTGAATGAATATGGCAAACAGAAGCCACTGGTGATCGCCCATATTATCAAATTGTGTCTCAGCTGTGGTGATCCATGGGACTCCTGACAGGCACAAAATGACTGCCCTGCACATCAAACTCCTCAGTTCAACAACAGGCAACCATGGAAAGGCAACCTCACCACGTTCTTCTTCCAGACAAATCCAACGCTGTCCAAGACATTTTTCTCCTCAATTGCCATCCATCGCAGTGTCTGTCGTTTCTTCTGATCTGCCACCCACAGGCCAAGCTCTTGATTGTCCCACAAGGTCTTTGGCACGTTCAAGTCCATATACTTGGACTTGAAAACCTTCAGTTCACGGACCTGGCAATGGCAAGGTAAAGACGATCAGTAACTTCCAGTTTGCCAAAAGCGAGCCAAATTTTTGAGCAGAAACAGTGTATGGGTCACAGGACAGAGCGATGTGACCAACACAGCAGCGATGGTATCATTCATGCTGCAAACACAGGCCACCCTGCCGAGCCTGACCAGCCAACTGGGAGTATGTACTCTGGTCCAAGCCTGTGCATCCACGGTCGAGCTATGTTCAGGCATTGTCCCATGTGATAGCCAGCTGTACCTGTAACCAAGCAGCTGTAACCAATGACAGCACACATCCCTCCATCCACCACCATTTGACAAGGTAGCACCAGCACCTCCCAAGCACCTGGGAAACTGGAGTGTTGCTTGCATATCAGGCGCAAACCCAGTGCCTGCACCTGATGACGTCACTTCTGCACTGTCCTGGGCACAACAGCCTGGGATGCTATTGCTGGGACACACATCCATGACTGTTCGACTTGCCATGTGCACACGGCTCTACTGCCACAGAATCCCAATTCACAGACTGAGCATTCTACTGCCATTCTCCCAAGCGAGAGACAAACTAGTCAGGAATGGGACGTGCGTTCCCAGACTTTGAGCTCACCTTCATCATGAATTCCGCCTCAGGAGTTGCATGTTGCATTTCCCTTGCTGGTCTTGGCGCTGTTCTAGGGACGGGCAGTCCGCGCCTGTCCTTCACAGCCTTCTTGCTGGGCTTGCCGCGCCTCCGCCGTTTCTTCATTGTCTTCGGCTTCACCTGAGCGTCGTGCAGCTCGGGATCCGGGAGGTTGATCACCCTGCGCGGCGGGGATCGTTCGCCAATCATGAGCGAATCGGCATCCCCACGCCGCCTCTCCACGGCCTGGTCGAACAGGCGCAGGCAAACACGTCACCCTCTACCTCAACACGGCCTCCCGACGCTGTCCATGGCTATCTCCAAAGGCCATTTGCGCGCTTCACCACATTGTCTGGCATGAGGGACAGTTTGCGTTCATCCCTCACCTCTGCGTTATCAACGAACGCTCCGGCTCTGAACAACCTGCGCTGGGGAGGCAGGGCATCGCATCGGTCCCTCGGACCCCGCCCGGCATTAAAACTCGCGAGGGACAGCGGCTTGGACACTGTGGCCAAACGAAGCTCGGACAGCGCCAGCGCGCACAGTAAGTCGCCCCTCGTTGCCCGCCACAGGCTGACTCGCAGCATTCGCGAAGGGCCCACAGCCGTGGGCCAAGGGGGCCGAAAGGCGGTGCTCATTGGTCACCCCACGCCGCCCCGCGCCGCATCCTGCAAACCTGCCCACCAAGCACCAGCGCAATTCCCCCCACATCGTGTTCTTTTGGGCCCAGCCATCCTAAGTTCTGGGTGCCCATACAGTGGGGTGGCCTCTTTAAGGCCGTCCCGTGACAACCACATTGCACCAGCCTTAGTCACCAGCCATTTCACCATTTCACCATTTCACCATTTCACCATATTCATTCACCAGCCATATTGACCGTTGGCCTTATTGAGGTCCGCAGCCCATTTAAGCCTGTAGAAGCCATTTACGGTACACTTAACATTATATATCGTATATATTGATTATTTTTAAGAATATTCTGATATCAAAATACTGTTAGTACTTTATGCTTTGCCCAATAAAAGGCGTAATACTTTACTTGGTAGCACTGATTGTCAGCAGGCAGTCGTCCAGTCGAAGGAGGGTGGCTTTGAACTGGGTGACCAGTGCTATGGGGTTGCAAACGCCCCTGCATCTGGCGCTAACACAGCGCTAAAGGGCTGGCACCATAGTCCTTGCCGTTGCTGCGGTCCTGTCCTTTGGCACTTGCCATTCCTCGATCTTGGATCTCTCTGCCGCCACCCGTCGAATGGTTCCTTCCCCACAATTGAACTTGTTGGCCAAGGCAGCGTGGCCAACTTTCGCCTTCAAAGAATCCAAAATGCCAACCTTCTATTCCATCGTCAACCTCATGCGTTTACCGCCCCCTTGAGGGGCCGCTCATTCCATCGGTAGTCGCTTCAACTTGTCTTTGTTCATGCCAGAGCCATCGGCATTGTCTTTGCCCAATTGTTTGGCAATCACCAAACCACTCTCAAACAAGATTTGGCCCTGGTCAACGTCCATAGCATCGAACCTTGGCAGCAACTCGCCCATACACTGCCCCTTGACGACAGTGGATCGAGGTGGCGCAATAACCTGGTCATAGCAAAGGCTACACACACGATCCATTTCTGAATCGCCATCGGGATCGACTTCTCCACAAATCCCGTGGAGGTACCCATCACACCCAGGGCACTTGTGTATAATGTAATTAGGCGGTTGGGGGGTTCGTGGGGCAGTCTGCACTTCTTGTCTTCAAGGCAAGGCATGGCGGCGGCCCCCCCACGCTCAGACTGCCTGTGGCCACGCCTTTCTAGTACTTTAGGTCGTGGCACTAGATATGGCCGATTTTGACCGGCGTTGTTG